TGCTTTTTTTATATGCGTATAATTCCTGGTGAGAAAGTATTTTAAGCCATATAAGGGACTGTATCTGAGTAATTCAACCCAAATGTGTTATTAGACAATTATGCTATAATTTTATTATGTTTCTTTATATACGTTAGCCCTGATAGGAAAGTACTTTTTAACCAAACAATTATGGATTGTATTTCTTAAATATCTAACTGCAAAATGTTTATATAACATTACTAAAAATTACTTACCAATATAAAATCAGAGTTGAGACAGTATACTTTGTCGTTGGTCTTCTCCTTCCCATATTGTAGCTTTGTAGTTTAAATTGTTGCCTGTTCATCGCGAGATATTTAAAGGTATATCATTTTGTTTTGAAAGCAGACCATAGGCAACACGACGCAAATTATAAGGTTTTTATAAACTAAATATACTTACTGTATACGTTACGTCCGAGATATTTCTTATAACCGAGCTACATTTTTTACGCTTTTTACAAACGCTGCGTAATAATCACATATTAAATACACCTCCAGACAATATCCTTCAAAATTACCTTTATAATTTAATAAAAAACATTTTAAAGGGCCGTAATTTCAGACTGGCATAAAAATTAGATTTTTCCCGCGCTTGCATTTTCTGCCGACTCCGAGTGCTATCCCCCCGGTATGCAAATTTGACGGTTTTCAGACAGCCAATCAGATTACGTATTCGTCATTTTCAAACGTTCTCAAAAGTCAACAGCGCGGGTCCAGCATCGTCCCATTCAAAAAATGAGTAAAATATTAAAAGCTTTTCGCATTTTTCTCGCTTCCATAATTTGTTTTCAATATTAAAATATAGCCAGATGTGGTAAATTATCGTAGATTTCATTTCTGTTGTTATTTTAGCTTAGTTTTAGGGATAAATTGAAGTATTTTTGGATTGTTTGCATGTGTCCCATGTCGATATCGGGATTGAAGTTGCCTACCTAGGAATATATATACTATATAATGCCTACATTGCCTGAACACTGTCAGGCACGCGAGTCGCCCGTTGCGTAATACACAGGATGTCAGGATTTTAGTTAGCATGAATAAATGATACATGTTTCAATTGAATCAAATACGGAAAGCTTTGTTCTAATTTTCAATATTTTAGTGCACTTTTATTTCAAATAAAACCATCGCTATTGGGCTGCCTATGGTGCCCTTATAACTTATAGGCTTATAGATTATGCAAAGCAGAAATATCCCTTTATCTACTTATTTGGTATCTAATACCTTATATGGTGCACGGCCACGCGTAAGCCTGGCGCGAGTCGGAAGCGGCACAAACAATTTCAATCAAAGCGTTTTGTGTTGCGGCGTGTTTACTGTTTACAAATTTCAATTTTCAAGTGCTTTTTAATAAGTGATTTGGGCCTGAGGGTTTATATTTTATTGATTTGTTCGGGGGATAATTGAATTGGTGTCGTGGTAGTTGAATTGGTGTCGTGGTAATTGAATTGGATCATTGGATTATCAAACAAACAGGTTGGTGTCATTATTGTTTATAGTGTTTTGTTCGATCCAAGAAAATAATAAAAATAGCGCAAGAAATATCTTATAAGGCCATACTGGTCGCGCGGGAATACCTGTAGTTTTAATAAATAATAAAGGTGATCTTGGATAAATTTCCTTATTCATAATTTCATATCCTTATTTAAATACTGTTGGCGGACAACGGCATCCATTGAAAGCTTACCGGCAACACTTCGTCTCGCAAATTGCAATCCGTCCCATATCTTAGGAATCCTTTCATTTAATGTGTTACTTCTTAGTATTTCTTGATGCTAAGTGTTTTTTATGGTTATTTCGTATAAACTTATTGTGTGTAAACAAATAACACACCTGAAATTTATTGTATGAAATACGACATTTGGCAGTGACTTGTATTATATCCTACCCTTTGTGCCATAAGCTAAACTGCTAAAACTGCTTGCCCTTATATACAGCAGTGGTAAACTGTTGTTTCATACGTGTGTATAAGAAATTGTCCTTGGATATATATTGGGACAAATAATGTCGAGTCACATATCAATGAGAGATATTTTCTGTTTAATTTATAATTCAATTTTTCCATAGTCTTCTCTGAGAGTGCATCAGGCCTGTAGTTTATGTGAAATTGGTGTAGTAATGGGTTTTCTCAAGATCCCCATCCTTGTACTATCCTTGCCCAGCAGGAATTAACCATTGAACAGTGGAAGGGTATTATAGGCATGCTTCCCTGTATATTTTAGATACTGTGTAAGTATATGTAACATAATGGGAGTATGTTCTACAATAGAAACAACCATTTTGAATATTGTAGGACCTTGAATCTATGATATGGCTTATTGGCGTAGTTACAGAAAGTTCTCTGCTGAAGCAATTGCTCTTGCAGCGTCTGACAATGAAGAAGACAATCCTGAATCTTTAAGTCATACAAATGATCTTTTGCAAAACAGTTGTAGTGATGAGTCATCAAATTATAGTGATACAGATAATCCTGAACTGATATATAGCTCTGAATCAAACTCTGATACCGATTTTTCAGAAAATGAGCATGAAGGAAATTTACCTCCTAATGATCCTTCACTCCCAAATACTAATGATCCATCACTCCCATCAGAAACATTGAGAGGGAAGCTTGCAACCTGGGCAACAAAAAACAAATGCCAACGTACTGCTGTAAATGAGCTACTTCAAATTCTTCGAGGGCAGGGACTTTGCCTTCCGAAAGACAGTCGCACCCTTTTGCAAACCCCTCGTGAAGTAATTACTTTATCTAAGTGTGGCGGGCAATATGTATACCTGGGGATTGAAGCTGGCATAACTGATATTCTTTCGAAAAATGCATCTTTAATAGAAAAGCACACCACAGTTGATTTGATGATCAATGTGGATGGGCTGCCATTGTTTAAATCTTCCACTTCCCAGTTCTGGCCTATTTTAGGTTATTTCAATAAGGTTGAAGTCTTTATTATTGCACTCTTTTATGGTAATTCTAAACCAAGTTCTGTGGATGATTATCTTGATGATTTAATCGAAGAGCTTGATAAGTTAAAAATTCATGGTGTAAATTTTGAAGGAAGGCAACTTGCCTTTAATCTGAGGTGTTTTTGTTGTGATGCTCCTGCAAGTGTTTTTTAAAAGGTATAGTTGGTCACACGGGCTACTTCTCTTGTGAGCGGTGTAAAATTAAGGGGTCATGGAATGGCAGAGTTGTGTTTAATGATGATGATGTTTTTGCACCAAGGACTGATGTTGAATTTTCGAATTTTAGTTATCATCACCACCAAAAAAGTGCTTCCTCCCTAGCTTCACATGGTGTTTCATGCATTAAGCAGTTTCCACTTGACTATATGCACCTTGTATGTTTAGGTGTTACTCGGCGCTTGCTCACTTTCCTTAAAAATGGGCCAAAAATTTGCAAGCTGTCTTCCAGACATATACTGCAAATATCCGAGAGCTTGATGTTGTTACATGGAAACATGCCAAGTGAATTTGCAAGACAACCAAGGTCGTTGGTTGAACTTGATCGCTGGAAAGCTACTGAGTTTCGCCAGTTTCTTCTTTATACTGGGCCTGTTGTGTTAAGAGGCATTTTACCAGATAGACTATACCAGCACTTTCTTTCTCTGTCTATTGCTATTTCCATAATGCTTGACATGAATACTGCCAAGCGAACCTCGTATCTGCAGTATGCAAGAGAGTTAATAACTAATTTTGTGAGTAACTGCAAATCTCTGTATGGTGATACCTTTGTGGTGTACAATGTACACAACCTTCTGCATTTGCCTGATGATGTTGACTATTTCCATTCTTCATTAAATGAAATATCATGCTTTCCCTTCGAGAACTTTATGCAACAGTTGAAGCGACTTGTTCGAAGTCCCCTATTGCCCAGGTTGTTAAAAGACTAGCAGAACTGAAGCACTCTGTGCAAAAACACCAATGTGATTGGCGCTACACTCATATCTCTACCAAATTGAAGGATAGCTGTTTTATGCTGAAGGACAACACTTATGTTTTTGTTGGACTGCGGAGATCAGGGTGAAAGATTTGTCTGTGAGGTAGTATCAGAACGATCGACTCAGAGCTTCTTCCATATCCCAGCTGATTCGAAACTATTTAACATAGTGTATATTGATAACTCGTCACGAAAAGGAAAAAGACGCCTTGTTGAAAAATGCGAAATTCTACAAAAGCTGTTTGCCTTCCATACCGGTCAGGATTTGTCATTTTCCCAATGCATCACGAGGTTGAAAGATACCGATAGTCCTAACCCTACTCCAGGTAAATTAATGCAGTAGACGTGTAATTATAACATATCACGTGATTATGTAATTGCCATATAAGTGGATTCCCCAGCTTGGCCTATACTGCAAAATTTTTATTTTTGATGAAAAAGTACATTGCGTTTGACTTAATACTGTTATATCAAAAAACCTTAAGGTTTAGGATCCCACAGAACTATAATGTAAAGTAGGTGTTCATGTTGTTGGTATAGCTTTATGATAAAAGACTCCCAATTTACGGGTCAAAACATTTCTTTTCTGTTAAAGCTTGTCATATACTGCACATGTACACAGAATAGTCTGTCTCTATAATCAAAAGTCAGTAGGTCATATACTTATTTTTTTTCTCTTTTAAGAATGTGGGTAAGAGCTGTTTGGCAGGAGGGAAAAAAGCAACACGAAGGCGTTGTTCCAGATGTGTGGATTCAGAACAACAATGTAAGATGGCCATCTGGATTGAATGTAATTAAACCTCATGCTGAAAGACAAACACCGTGTGCAGACTGGAAAACCTTTCCACTTATTAAAATAAATGTACCGCAGGTCAGTAATTTTATTATTGATATAAACTATTTTCCTAAATTTCCATTCCTAATGACGATAATGTGGATATTACTTCATGAAAAAAGAAACAAGTGGGCGGTATTATAATAACCAAACAAATAACGTTGCAGCAACAGAGTCATGCATATATGCATTTCAAGGCACGTATTTCCAGTTGTTCTCTATTTAATTTGTATTTTTGTAAACCAGATGAAAAACAAGTTTGTGAAAGGTACGATTTTACGACCACTGCCGAAGTAAGTGATGGTGATGAGGATCATGAAGTATATAGGAAAGAGAATTTAATTCTAAGGAAAAGAGTCGAAAAGGTTAGCAATTACAACATACATCTTTGTATAAGTATTTTTGTATTTGGCGTACTTATTCTTTCTTGTATTTTGCAGGAAAACAAATCGTGTATTCGTCAGACAATAATTCTGATAGTGACGGTGGAAATGCTAACTGTATGTATCAGAGTCAAAATCTAATCCATCGAGTATACTTTGTCCTTAATTATTATATTCTATTTTTTTCGCTCTACAGTATGCGTAATAATGTAGTGTTGCACTTGTATGAAACTTTTACTAGTTTTAGTAACAATAATTTGCCGAAGGCGAGGTGATTATCGCTTTCAATAATCACCTTTGTACTTATACTAATGAGGCTTATTTACTTGTCAGCTATTTCAGATTTCCCACCTCCACCAAAGAAATTTATTTCAAGCAACGAACGATTCGAGCATCCATTTCACGTCGATGATTCCAAGAACACCACTGTCAAGATCGAGAAGCCCTCTTCGAGAAAAACCGAATAGCAGTAACAGACCACGGAACAAACAACACAATGAGCTTGTCAAATGAACAAACGTAAGCTAATCATGGCATTTAACTTTTGTAAAAAATAGATACTCTAGAGATCTTCATTTAATATACTACAGATTTTAGAACCAAATTTTCTTTTAAAATCTTATTTCTACTACTTTGTTTCTACTAATTTTAGACTTCTCTTCATCATCATCCAAACACATTCTGCATCGAACTGCAAAAGAAAGTCAAGACCCAGAATGCGTTCGAGATCGAAAACAAGATCAAGGACGAGGTCCAAACCTTCTCAGTCAGAGGAACAAATTTATCTGGAAGAAAAAGACCCCAGAATACCTTAGATCCAACGATGGACCATTACTTTCAGGAGCTGCAGGTAAAGCAGTAATGATGTCATGATTGTATGCCGAGGCATTAAAACTTACTTCGTTTGCTCTTGGTATTTATTTACGTGACAATCAATATTTTCGTTTAAAGTTTAGAGCACTATTCTTAAGCCTTATTCCCCGGACAAAACGCCTCTTACGCAGCCTGCTAAAAAGCTTGTTTCCTGTGCTTTTCAGATATTCTGGCATCAATATTCCCTGATGCAACAAGAAGATCACGATCAAAAACCAAGTCTAGATCACGATCAAAAACAAGATCTAGATCGACTTCCCGATCAGAAAGAAATGACAGAACGAGATCACGATCGACGACAAGGTCAAGATCCAGAACGAGATCCAGATCAAGGTCCAGACCTTCTCTGTCAGCACCAGGGGTAAGAAGGGAAAGTTTGGCTGAAAATACTATCCCAGAAAAACAGCATGAGCGAAGTTTTGGTATTGAAAACACCGTTGCTAGGAGTAACAGTGGATTCCCCATATCAGAAGCAAGTAAGTACACATGCTGTAAAATATGATCACCCTAGTCCTCTTGCCAAGTTGCCAAACGTGTATAGCTATTCCATGGACTATATATCCCCATTTTTGGGCATTGAAGAGATTTAAATTAGAAACTGCTAGAACATGTCTTCACCTGTGAAAATCGTTTGAGTTTTGTTGCATTGTTGTTGAGTTTTGTTGCATTGTTTTTTTCAACACATAGAATTTCAAAGGAGAGTTTTGCAGCTATTAACCGAAATTCGTAACTCGGTTGCCCAAGTGGGAAAAAGATGTTCTCCTGCCAATTCTGCAGTTCATATCGATCAGGCAACGAGCTTGGAGGAACTGATCGCATTAGAAAGCAGCCTTGCTGATAAAGACACCAGAGATGTATTGGTAAGAATAATCTAAAAGCTGTGTATGAATTGTTGACTGGTCAATGTAGTTAACTAAATATAAAACTGACAACAATGATGGAAGAGCTTATCAATAATTACGGAAAAATATCTTTGTCTTTGACAATCCTCCATTCTTGTGGTCGTTTATATAGTCCTAATATACTTCTCTTATTGAAGATTTGTATTAAATTTACTATGCCAGAACTCGACTTCTGCTTACTGTAAAAATGAGTCCAAAAATTAATACTATTTCTCTAATTAGTCATGCGTTTTAATAAATCGTTATCAATTCGACATGTTTAGCCATGACATGCCTGACCAATTGACCATTGTTTTTCAGTTATCACGAATCATTGATATCGGAGGACTGAACGTCAGAGAGAATGTCCGCAATGTAATGCACAGGTATTAACCATAGATGTATGACTACCCAGAGTGTGCTACACTGCTAACTAGTATAATGTAGATTGAAAGTCTCTGTTCTCAACATTTTCAATATTTTTTAGATTGATGAATAATGAAGTTATGGCATCAATGAACATGAAGGGAAAGGGTTCGAAATATGCGTTTGGGTCTACCAAAGTATTTCAAGCTGTTGTAGGTATGTGAAACTGTTCTCTTTGTGGTGTATGTTTCTGCAATATATATATACCGCATTCGTAAGAATTTTTCAAGTAAACGTTTGCTGTTTTGTTGTATCTACTTCATTTCATATTAATAATTAGTGATTACTGATTTGCTTGCTTATCAAAAGAAATTAACATGACATGAATTA